AACAGGCCAAACGCTTCGATAGCAGTGACAGTGGAGGACAGATACAATGAGTAAAAACATTGCTATGATATGAATATGTTGTTATGGATCACTAGCTTTAAAATTTCCTCTTTTCCCTTTACTGAAATTTTGAAAAGTTAATGTTGAAGTTTTTACGATTTCGAGTGAATAAAACTCATTTCATTGCCTAGAAATTTTGAAAAGATGTTGAATTTTTAAAGAGCGTAGGACTGAAATAAAACTCATTTCATTGTCTTATCGCTGTTAATTGTCATTATTGTTTGAAAGAAATCTCAGTACTTATAAAATAAACAAATAACTTCATGGTTGGTTCGCTTGTACGATTTTTATTCACTTGTTGTGAATAAAAATCGTATGCACTCACCAACCATGAAGTAATCTCGATCTATTTGTGACACCTCTGACGCATTTGGAATCATTCGGTCGTTCGACTGCCCCTGCTATAATTGTCGTAACCCGTTCATATTAATAGGATGTCTAGAATGCGTGCAATTAAATACGGGTTTCCCGCTCCATTGACTTACCGACTGCAGAACATTTTAAGATTAACCTCCCACAATGTGAGCACAGTTCATGATATGACATATTACTAAAGTGAATATAAATAAATGTATCCCGTTAAATTCTTAACTCAATTTTTTGAGGTACTGAATGAGTCAACAACGACTCAGATATTAACGTTCGTCTTACCCCTCTGCCGGAGTGTCAACGTCAGTTGCGCCAAAGTTTAAAGGGACAATAGAATTGTGTCTTTAAACGTCAAACTCGTTAAGATAATTAATACGTTAAACATTATTTCCTCAACTGTGTCGCCTCCAATGATTGAACTCCGTATTCTTTATATCAAATCCTCGTACTAATATCCCAAACAAAGAGCCTTTTACACGCGGTGTTATAAAGACGAAGTCGACAAACGAATTAGCAAAAGTGAGACGGCAAACAGAAGTTAAATCGTCTCGTTAATAAAATATATACTTCAGTAATCGCCGTCAAAAAAGACCGTGTCAGCAGATACCAATTGGCTAATGAGTTTGTTTGAAAAGACAAAAAAGATTAAGGATCATTAATATCCCTCTGTCTTATCGCTGTTAATTGTCATTATTGTTTGAAAGAAATCTCAGTACTTATAAAATAAACAAATAATTCATGGTTGGTTCGCTTGTACGATTTTTATTCACTTGTTGTGAAGAATCGCAAACGAACGAGTGAGCGCAGCGAACGAGTGAGTTTGCGATTCTTCACAACTTGTGAATGAAAATCGTACGCACTCACCAACCATGAAGTAATGTCTATTTGTGACACCTCTGACGCATTTGGAATCATTCGGTCGTTCGACTGCCCCTGCTATAATTGTCGTAACCCGTTCATATTAATAGGATGTCTAGAATGTGTGCAATTAAATACTGGTTTCCCGCTCCATTGACTTACCGACTGCAGAACATTTTAAGATTAACCACCCACAATGTGAGCACAGTTACTGACATGACATATTACTAAGGTGAATAAATAAATGTATCCCGTTAAATTCTTAACTCAATTTTTTGAGGTACTGAATGAGTCAACAACGACTCAGATATTAACGTTCGTCTTAGAATTGTGTCTTTAAACGTCAGACTCGTTAAGATAATTAATACGTTAAACATTATTTCCTCAACTGTGTCGCCTCCAATGATTGAACTCCGTTTTCTTTATATCAAATCCTCGTACTAATATCCCAAACAAAGAGCCTTTTGCACGCGGTGTTATAAAGACGAAGTTGACAAACGAATTAGCAAAAGTGAGACGGCAAACAGAAGTTAAATCGTCTCGTTAATAAAATATATCGCCGTCAAAAAAGACCGGGTCAGCAGATATCAATTGGCTAATGAGTTTGTTTGACAAGACAAAAAAGATTAAGGATCATTAATACCCCTCTTTCGTCACAAAACAAATGAACAAACAAAATATTGCTTTTAACAGTCCTCTGCTGTTTCCGTAGGTATCCCTGAAAATAGCACCCAGTTCACGTAAGTAAAGATGTAAGCTTAAGCGGTAAGAAGACCCTTTGTAATATTGCTTTTCAGGTTATTCAACACCGAGAGACCTCGCCCTCCCCCTTAACAAGAGGAAGTCAGATAAAAAGGATATAAAAGGAAGAAAGTTGCTCAGATAACTTCACTGCGAGCAGCAAGCTCACTAGAAAAGATACCGAGGCCTCAAGTCAAAGGATTCTTAGACTGCAGTATCTTGGTTTCTCTACTAAAGCTTCGATAAGGTACTTATTCAGAAAGTTTTCTCTTACATCATATCCATCATTGTTGGTAAATAAGTGGAACAACTTTTAGTTAAATACTGCTCTTAAGCATAGTCCATGATCTAAGTCTAGACAATCGTTACTCTTTTTACGAAGGCATTGTGCAAATGTTTTATTCAATGAGTCAACGTTTACGAAGAAAGATTGTTGTACTCGATGTTGTTGTCCCTTTTCAAGAATACTTTAAGGTGTTTAGTTTCTTAAGTCAATGATGAAAGCTGAACTGAATTAGGATATTCTCTTCTTCCCTCGTACGAGTAGGTTGTCTGAAATAGAATCTTTTTTAAGCTTTGTTCGGTTTTATCTTGTATGGTTGTGTTCACGCCTTCAATTTACCCATGACCTCGGTTGTCTTCAAGTATTTAACAGATATTTTAAGTCTGTTTGCCCTCAACAAATCGTTGCTGAATAGTCTGAGAGTCAAACTAGCTTTCCAGTGGTCCTGCGATTCAGGGTCAGTTCACTATGACCAATTGAGCTAGATTTACTTTAAGTTTGGTCGCTGCGAGGTTAAATCCTTGTCCATGATTGTAACCAAATGGTTGATTCCTGCCACGTTGTTTGACCTGATAGGTTCTATTTAGATTATTAATTTCAGTGATCCAGATTATTTTATTCAGCGCATGCCGCTTAGTGCAAATAAGTTTAGCATTATTTTACAAGGCAATACTGATTCATCAAAATATCCATTTTCTTGTCTCAACAGTCGGAAAGGGAGAAGCAATTAAAGAGAAAATGAAAGCAACAAGGTATTATGCTATCGTTTTTACTTTCACCTAGGAAAACAGGGAAGAAATATAAGAAACTATAGTTAACTACTCAGGGGCCGACAGTCACTCTCTGCCTTCGAAAACCTAACATTTTTCTGTCACTTAATTTACAGGCGGTAAAGCCTGAGGCTCTGTACCACTTTTTCCTATTTTCAACATTTTGAAGTTGCCTGTGATCTTTTACTAAACAGAGACTCGGCATAAGTGGGCCAAATTCTATTTGACAAATAGAACCAATTTTAGACAAGTGCGATCAATTGTTAATAATGCGGACACATAGCTCGGTCCCTTCAGTTTCCTTATTACGTGAGTTTGACTTTTTATTCTAATTTATCAATTCACTACTTTCACAAAGACCATAATGCGCCTTGTTTACCCCCTAAAATTTAGCATAACTCTTGTTTCCAGTTTCTCCTGGGTATAACAGTCGTCCCAAGGAAATCCAAGACAATGGTTATGCAAAATGTTGGGGATAAACAAGGTGCATTATGGTCTATGTGAAAATGGTAAATTTCATTGCCCACCTAAATTGGTACATCAACAGTTCAGAGACCTTATCCTTAATTAACGTAATTTTGTTTTGTTATTTAAAACTGACACTTGAGAATGGAACTGAAAAAGATCAGTATTTTTGAAATTGCACCATTGACTGTCTACAAGTCTTTCTCCTGGAACCTTTTGCTGAGTTTATTCTTGACTGCTTTTACGTTACTTTATGACTCCCAGTAACTGTTTATATAATACAGTTTTAATTATTGCCAAAGTGTAATCAGCACACCAAAGTTCATCTATTCACAAAGTTAAATTGCATTGGTGCGAGCTAATAGGCCCTTTGCAGTTAGTCATGGTAGAAAACAGCCATGGGTACATGTACATCATGGGCCCTTTCCATTCAACCAAAACGTCCGGTTTGAATTTTTGGCAACTTCCAGTAGCGAATGGAACAGCATTTTCCAAAATTTCCAAACCAGACGAAAACCTCGCGAGGTATACCCAAATTTTCGAAAATGCCTTTTCCCGGAAGTTTCCTTTCCATTCAACTTTGCTCCCAGAATTTCCAGAATTTTCGGTTGAATGGTTCGCATTTCGGAAATCAACAGTTTCCAGAATTTCTGAAAACTTTTCCGGAAATTTCTGCACCATTGCCGCTGTTTCCAAATTTTCGAAAGTTTTGGTTGAATGGAAGGCGCCCCGGCCATGTAAAATGGTAACTTGCTTTGTTTGTCTCACCCCAGTGCGTCCCTTGCTCTCCAGCATGGCTGTTTTGTACCACGTGAATGACTATCCGTGAAGGGCTTATTCAGAGCCATCCAAACCAGGTGTTTTGAAAAAATGAAGTGGCTTTAATACAAACTCGGAATTTAAACTTGTAAAAAGTGAGCGTTTTTATCCTGAAAGCTAAAAGCTTCAAGTAAAATAGTGTGGTAGTCCTGATCCATCAGACAAACAAGAATCCGTAAAAATGCTAAAAACCATATCTAAATACAACAAAACCCGGCGACTAAGAAACTGGTTGTTAAGAACCTGTTAGGCTAAAATTTGCCAATTGGGCCCTCTCTATACAAGGACCTGTTTAGCCTAAAATGTGAAACAGGTTCTTATTTTCTAAAGTCTATGAAAAAAATTCTGTACACGTGGGCAAATAATAGGAGTGTAAGTCGACATTAAGGATCCTCTTTGGACACATTAGTGCCTTATTCGCGGCTCCAACAGCAATTGTAATTGTATACAGGTTTTCCCCGAGGAATGAACTGAATACTACTACAATATATTTTTCTTCAGAAAATAAGAACCTATTTAAGAACTTAAGTAGCCTAAATTTGGACTAATTACCATTTACGTAAGAACCTGTTTAGGCTAACTTGGCAGAATGCAGGTGCTCTGCGGGATTAAGGTATCTTAGGTTAATTTTAGATTTCCGCTCTCTTTGTTTCCATTTCAGCATTCTCTTATGCATTGCTGTTATTGTTGGCACTTACGAAGTACGCCAAGCATCGTCTTCTGATGCAGCAGCCAAACTGGTTTTGAAGATACTGAAGAATAGAGCAAACTGCGAAACACCCCTTAAAACGGCTTTGGCATGCCTACAACGCAAGTATCGCACATTTGACGGCACATGCAACAATCTGTGCAACATAACTCTGGGATCCGCGGAACAACCTCTTGAGCGTTTACTGCCACCCGACTATGAAGGACCTGCCGGTAGTCAAGCACCACGAAGTTTGGGAGTTGATTTTAAGCCACTTACAGATCCAAGAAAAGTTAGCGTTGAAGCTTTGGAGAACAATGATACTGCGAATATCAATGGCACTATTGTGGATTTTACCCACCTGACAATGACCTGGGGACAATTCCTAGATCACGACGTCACCTTAACAGAGCTGCCTGAAGGCTTAGATTGTGGGATAAACAATGCACCATGCAACGTCATTCCTGGATGTGTTAACATAAAAATCCCGAATGGTTTAGAACTGTTATTTAACGAATCTGTACAATGCATTCCTCTTCCCAGGTCTGTGAGAAACCCAGCTGGTGACCAGGTTAGCGGAGTATTTAACTTTTTCATAAATGTCCAGTGATACACACAGTAGCATCTATTTGATATGGTTTCCCACAGGCAGCCCAAGCTTAGTATGAGAGTTAAATCATTAATACGTTTGGTATCCTATTGCGTAATCTTCAAAACGGTCGTGAACTTAAAGTGCTTTAATGGAAATTAGGTAAGAGATTCAAGAAGATCAATACTCGCTGGAACTTCCAACAAAAAATGCCTAACTTTAATAAGCTAGTTACTGTTTGCTTCCTGTGTGATTTTTTTTCCCGATCTGATGCGATTTTAGGAGCGATGGAAGAAATAAAAAATTGCTAAATTCGCATCAGCACATGTTAACTCTCATACTTAGTTTGGGCTGTCTGTGGATTTCCCAGAGTGGGAAAGTCTTCCAGACGCGAGAACCCTTAAGAATAGGACACAAACTAGGTTTTGAGTGAGAGTAGGACCAAACGTTTTGAGTAAAAGTTATGCATAAGCGAAACAGGCCAGACTAGGCTGCCGTTTCCGGGAACATCCTCCGAGATGTTGAAAGAGACGTATCGAAACCAGTCCCACTTTAATCTTGCAAATAAGGCCACGTGGTAATCATCTGCACTATCACATGGCACTAACAAAAGACTCCAGGGTTTGAATGACACTCAGAGTCCATGGAAAAGCATTATTTACTCGTTGGCATACACTATCATCATTCGATGCAAATTTTTCTTCCTTTTCATTGGCCTAGAACCCACCACGTGACCTGCAAATAACGGCCAACAAATAATGGTCTTCTCATGCGAAATGTCGTCCAACTGTGTTTGGCTGCAAAAAATCTTCTGCTTATGTGTAAATGAAACCACGCTTTTCTCCTCCTTGCAATCGCTCTTCCGTTAAAAAGGCAGATTGCTTACAGTCCATGAGTTTATTTATATTTATTAATATGTTCAGTATTCAACCTCGTCTAATAATTGTTAATTTTATTTTTCATTTGAAATAAATATTGTCTCTTATACCAATAATGTCTTTATTATTTCAGATAAATATTATTACCGCTTATGTTGACGGGTCACAAGTGTACGGATCAAGCGATGAATTAGCTAAACAGCTTCGAAGTCCCAAAGGCCATGGACTTCTAGATACGGTGCCACTGAGAAACATTGGAGGCCTACCAAGACTTCCTGATGCTAGTGAAGAAGCCTTCTGTAGATCTCCCAATCCAGAAGAAAAACCTTGCTTTATTGCTGGCGATGCTCGAGTCAATGAAAATCAAGGTAGAAAAGACGTTATCTTTTTAAAAATCTTTCAAATCACCAATCAAAATTCAAGTCAAAAGAAAACAGATTCATATTATTTAAGATTGTATTATTCAGTGAAAGTGCCGCCCAAGACACATAATTCGTTTTGTATGTTTTGACATCTTTCTATTCATTTGATTGCAGGAATGTTATTAGAGGCGGTACATTCAAACGTAAAAAAAAATAATTTGACAAGTCTAATTACCTTATTGACATATTTGTTAGAGGATAATTGCAAGTGGATACGCTACGTAAAGATAGATGATAGATAGATGCAAACTGGTAAAAAACTGGTATTATAGTAATTAACTAACAAATTCTAAATTTTCATTCAAAACTCGTCTCTTAATCAGCATAAAGGAATAACCGTGGAGCAATTTTATTGCAGCTCTTATGGCGATGCACACTTTGTGGGTTCGCGAGCACAACCGTATTGCAACAAACCTTAAATTGCTCCGTCCCTACGCGGATGACGAGACACTGTTTCAAGAGGCGCGTAAGATTGTAATAGCAGAGCTTCAACATATCACCTATAACGAGTGGCTTCCAGTATTATTCCCCAGTAAAGAATTGGTAAGAACTTTATCAACGTGTGTTATATCCGCACCTATGATGAGTCCTCTTACGGCCTCTTGAACTTACTTGTTCCCCTGTTGATAATCATTTCACTAATATTCTTAGGCATTTAATTAAGTTAACTGATAGAACGTACGGTGGTATAAAATTTGACTTCCCTAAAAGCATACGTGATGGATAATGCGCAATTAATTTCCTGGGAGACCCACAGTTTGATGAGGCTAAAGAACCGGTAAACAAATTTCAAATTTTGAAGTTTTGAAGTTTAATTTTTTATTTTCCTTAATTCAGTCTATATGTTGTTTGAAATAACGTTTTGGCTATGAATGTCAGCCTTAGTCATATTCTTGAGATGTTTTTAAGTTTAATTTTACTGAAAAAGAGTCATTGTGTGACTGTCAGTTCAATGCCAAGAAAAAGAAATGTTGACCAGTGCAGACAATAAGTTTTTTGTTACAATAACAAAAACAGTAAATTTTAAAATCATTTTAAAAAAAATTAAATAGTTTAACTCTCACGGAGGAATTCGTTCCTAAATTTTAACTTCGCTTTAAAATGAAATACATTTGCACTTTGTCTAGCATTTTACTGATTCGCTAAAAATGCTCTAACTTAGGAACTGATAAATGCGTCATGTTGTCAAGGTGACAATTTTGCATGATTCTTACCTTTGCAATCATTTATTCTTTTATTTCTTTCTTTCTGTTGTAACGCTTGGCCCAGCGTGCACGTATGTTGAGCTCTAACTCATTTTAAGCTAATTCTAAACTAAGGGGGCCTCCATACTTGGAAAAAAAACCGGCCACTTAACTGATAACTGATCGGCGAAAGCACACACATTATTTGCGTCATCCTTGCCCCGGCATTTAATACAAGAGAGCGCATTTTCAAAATGTTTTTATATTTCTTTTTCAGAGAAAACAATTTGGTGTTCTTTTAAAACCTAAAGGAAAATTCTTCACTGGATATGACCCCGAAGTGAATGTGCAATGCACCAACGTTTTCTCTACATCCGCTCTGAGAATGGGTCACAGTTTAATTCGCGCCGTTTTTGATTTGAGATCAGCCGACGGCACCTTTAGTCGATTTAGAGGATCTGATCGGTCCCTGCCTAGAGACATTCGTTTTGCTGAGCCAGTTGACTTCTTCATCCCAACAAGGTTTTTTAATAAAAATGAACAAAGCGTCTTTACAAGAATTTTGTTCGGGCTGATATTTTTCGTGGCTCAGACTCCTGATCGGTAAGTATAGCGCTCTTTAACCCTTAATGATATTTAGACTGGGCTTGATTTAGGTCCCTAACTCCAGCAGTGTAGTATTCTTACTGAAGCCAACCCTCACGGACAATTTTTCGGTCCTCAAAAAATGCAGAAATGAATTCAAAAGCCTTGTCTACGAGATACTAATTATACAAAAACTCAAACTAATACTGAACATTGAATCGGATTCGATTCGCGCTAAGCTTTTCTATTAAATACATTTACATAGGGTGGATTATTTGCAGCATACGACGGTATACCCGTCCCATTTGTCCACTGGAATTTTTTTTTTAAGCTCAAAAACAATAAAATATTCAAACGGGCAAATGCGATGTATATACCCGTATGCTGCAAATGAATCCACTCATAATAATGAAGCACGGGCGAATGCAATCTTATTTATTCAAACTACACCTCTTTTAACAACTTTGAAACTTTACACTCTTGATAATGATGTTCGAAGCATCGAAAATTCGAGTAACGCGTTCTTAAGTTCAAATTTTCTTGTTAAATCAGCTGCAACAAGCTCATAACTGACTATTGGACTTAAGTACAAGATTATTTTTAGTTCCCAGATGGCCTTGTAACTTTTTTGATAGAGTCATTGTTTGTGAACAACTGCTCCTTCCTTAATGTAGACGCTTAGTATTAGAAATATGATTTCTCTAATAGAATCTCATTCCTTTTATAGTATCTTTGTGAACGCTGTACGCGAGCGACTCGTCATTGAAGGCAATATCTTTGGCGATCTCATGGCCATCAACATTCAGCGTGCTCGGGACCATGGCCTACCAGGTTACGCCCATTATCGAGAAGTGCTTGGATTGGGGGCTGTTAATTCTTTTGATGACCTTTCGGGCACTTTCTCTTCAGAGCAGATTGCAAGATTTAAGGCTGTATACAAAAATGTCAAAGATGTTGATGTTTTTCCCGGCAGCATAGCAGAGGGCCCCTTTCCAGGAAGCGTGCTTGGAAGCGTAAATACCCACATTATTCTAAAGCAGATGGGAAAGTTCCGCTCTGGTGATCGCTTTTGGTACGAGAGAGATGACCACTTGACTGCCTTTACGCTCAAACAGCTGGATGAAATAAGAAAAGTTACTATGGCTAGAGTCATGTGCGACAACCTTGACGGTGCCACCCGCATTCAGCGTTGGGTATTCAAAACAATAAAATCCCGCCGAAGTGTGGTTGACTGTGCAGACCTAGATTACGTTGACCTGAAAGAATTCAGTCAAGGTAACTTTTATCTATTTCAAATATTTCTAATATATTCTATTTATTTTCATCTTCCATCTGTTGACTAATATTATTACACTTGACGAGTTTTCTCTCGTGTTTGACAAACAGGAGACGCGGCATTACGAGTATGAGTTAGGCAGTTAACGCAACGAGAGGGCTTACTCACAGTCGCTCACAGGGTACAGAAACCAACACAAACTAGACGCCTGGAGGCGTTCAGTGTTCTGTCAAAAACTTCAGGATTTCTAGACATATATATGATATTTTATGACAACGAGAAGCTTGACAGAACAAACTACAGCTCATAGAAGTTGATTGCATTTTGATGTGCAAGGGTTGCACATCAGTTTTAATTTAAAATGTCTATGGCTGATGTCAACCGCTTTTGACCAAGGATGGAAATGTGGCATTGAAAATAAACCATTTTACACTTGTGGGCTTGGTGTCCCAGCCTTTGAGTGAACGTGAGGCTGGGGTTGACCTTGTTTTAGCGCAAACCTCTTTCCTTTTCTCATGGAAACTGTGCTAAAAAAAAAGTCCTAGTTATCATAAAAACATCAGGATTTACATAGTAAACCAGGAAGGGTTGTATTGGTCAACTCCAGCCTCGTTTTCGCCGTTAACTGTAAAATGGTCTATGATATGTTCAAATAATCAACCTCGGTTAAAATAACGTATTGCTCAATTAAGTTACACCGTGAGTAACTTCTATTTTTTTCCTTTTCTTTAATTTTGATAGGAGCTGGAGTGGAACCGATGGAAGAAACTGGTGGTGAAGAAAGTGCCGTTGCCTGAATCCTTCATCACGTGTGAAACCCTTACTTTTCTTATTCGTAATTTCACTTTATTCTAAGTAAAGATAAGATGATCATGCAAACCTTCAAGAGAGACGGCACCAGGCAAGAAACCAAGCATTTCTTCTATTCAAAACCTGGAGTTTAATCTCCTGCTTTATCAATAAAGTATTTGAATGAAATGCTACGAAGTCTGATGTAGTTAATAGCGGCGAATTTAAGGAAACGGATCTGTTTACCCTGACGTCGCCCTTTACTAAATACACCCTTTGACATGAGCCAGTTTGGGAAAATCCTTCGTCACACCACTGAAAAGGGTGCCTTGAAATTAGTAAAACTGTCAAATTGGAAAGCGATACGTCTTAAGTGAACGAAGATATAGCCAGTAACCAAAGTTGTATGGTCAGGGGCAAGTTTGTACCCTCCACCATACAAACGTCCTCAAAATTTCGCCACTTTGAGGAGCTATAATTATTTTCGTTTTTTTTTTTTTTTCTAAAAAATCACTCTCAAACTTGGAAATTTTACTAATTTTGAGGCTCTTTTTCCAGTGGTGTCGACGGATTTTCCCTAACTTGTCCATGTCAAAAGTTGAAAAAACCCGTGGAAGGGTCTATTTCGTTTATCCTAACCCATCACTCCAAGTGGAAGAAAAGACTATCAACCTGTCCTCGCCAACAAACTCTAAAGTTGGGCAGTCAGACTTCTGAGACTTCCCCGGATCTGTCCACATCTTCCCCACGCTCCCTGGATTTAACAGTCCATTTGTACAAGGCCTAAATGTAATAAACGGCCCTAAATGTAATAAAGTCCTAAATGTAATAACATTTTGTCCTAAATGTACAAAAAAGTCCTAAATGTAATAACAATTTGCCCTAAATGTAATAAACTCTTAAGTTGCCAATTACAGTAATTACTTGAATAAGCGCCGCCTCAAATAAGCGCCGCTTTTGGAGGGGGGGGGCGGGGGGTTGAAGGTAGTTAGCCCCGCGGCGCTTATTCATGTAAATACGGTACTAGGCGGTATTACTATGGTATTAAGCTCCGCTCTCATAATTCGCGTAAATTCGGTACATTTCCTTATGCACTGTGAAACTTAACGTTTACAAATAAATTGCTTGTAAACGGCGTTGGGAGAATTCGAGACAGTTATGCAAACCCTCGACGTCGTCTCGGGTTTGCATAACTGTCAAGAATTCTCTCAAACCCTCGAGTGTTTATATCAGGCTATGCAAACACAGGAAAAAAGTTTTCTATTGCTTTTATAATATAACTTTCCCCAGAAAAAAGAAAAACTCTTTGTTTAGGTTACTGATTAAAAGAGAAATTCTTACCAGTCGCAAAGTCTTGTACACGAAGCTTAATGTACGTGTAATCAGTTCTTGTTTTGCAATAAAGATGCTTTCCAAAAAAGAGTTTTTCTCGCTTAAAATGTCAGCTTAAGCGAAAAAAATTGGCACAGCATATTTGTAAAGGTTTTTTCAAGGCTCATCCGACGAGGGAATGGGTAAATAAAGTAACTTTGTCGAGTTTTCAACTCAAAAACTTTTTAAAATTCGTGCTTGTGTGATTAGCCCGCGAAGAGCAAAACATCTTGACTCCACACATGTTTAGATAATCTCATGGAAACACATCTCTCGGCCAATCAGAGCGCGCGCGTACTATCTTAGTTATTTATAAACGTTGTTATCAGCTGTGCAGTAGTCTTAATGGCCTGTTTACATGGAGGTGGGGGACCCCAGAAAGGTGAGGTAACAGGCGGTGGGTTACCCCACCTATCAAGTAAACGGGATCAAATTAAAATGAGAGATTATGTGATTAGATCTCTTTTCTAGAGATCCAACGTTGACAAGCAACAGGATCTTCGTCCACGGTTTTTGCAGTAAATTTCTTTACCAAAAAATGAAGTATGAAAAACTTTTTAAGGCTTACAAGTCTTTTTTTTTATTTTGTCCCTTTACAAGCAATTTATTTGTAAACGTCAAGTTACACAGTGCATATTAAGGAAATGTACCGAAGCTTACTAAATTTTTTCTCCAAAAATGCGGCGCTTATTTGAGGGTGGCGCTTAAAACCATAGTAATGCCTTTTAGTACCATATTTACCCGAATAAGCACCGCAGCGCTTATTAACTTTCCTCAGATGCGGTGCTTATTTGAGTAATTACTGTAATTTGTAACTTAAGAGTTTATTACATTTAGGCCTTCTACACCATTCGTGTCGCGCCTTTGGTAGATTTATCCCTTTCATCATTGCGAATCAGACCATGTAATTTTCTGGGACACACCCGCGTTCTCATTAAGCGTCAGGAAACTTTTCAAACACTTTTAAAACTGGGGCAATACTGCAATCTTTGCACGGAGTGAATTAGCAAACAGGCATGTCAATAAGTAAACAACAAAAAAAGTAAGTGCAAGTGCAAACAGGATCCTAGACCGATAAAAGGACCGCCCCGATATGAAATAACTTATCATTACCATTATAATAATTATTACTTAAAAAACTCTAGGGAAAAAAATGTATTGATAGAAACTCGAGATAATTACACATTAACATAAACAAAATTTTTTTAAAAAAATGCAAGAATGTGAATGTGGTAGACACGGACTTTTATCCATAAGGGACGATTTGCATGATGTTTCCGGTTGTTCCAGAATTGCGAAGTATGCGAGTGTAAGAGAGACGTCTAGAGGTGTTTATCTGCCAAAGGCCTGAGTTGCGTTGAACGCGTAAAGACTATGCGTGGTTGTGGATAGTCTTATCAGTGCTCCCTTTTTAGGGAACCCCATGTATAGAAAACCCATACTGAACCACAAACCTGTATAAAAAGGATATTTTCGCAAAAAAGAGGCGTTAGGACAAACCGCCCAGTCATTTTTAGGAAGTTATTATAACTCCAAAAATGGAGTAAAAATCTTAGGTACAGGATAACCCCTTTTGGGGGGTCATTTTAACTCCTGAAAAAGAGTTCTTTTAACTCCCAGTCTGGAGTTAAAATAACTCCGAAAATGGGGTTGTTTTTACTCTTTATGGAGTTGCTTAAACTCTGAAAGTGGAGTAAAATTTTTAGGTACAGGATAACTCCTTTTTTGGGGGTTATTTTAACTCCTCAATACATGGGGGGATTTTTACTCCTGAAAAAGAGATCTTTAAACTCCTTTTTGGAGTGAAAATAACTCCCCAAAAAAGAACTCCACTGTAAGGAGTAAAATTAACCCCACTAGAGGAGGTATTTTAACTCCTTGAAAATTACTGTGCTCAACAAATAAAGTTTACTTTACGTAAGGTATGCCTTCCTGAGTTGTCAGGGCTCGCGAGTAGTTTTCAAAGTGCGGGACCGATCCACCTCTTTTGAGGGCCGATCCACCTCTTTCCTTCGGGAGCAGTCTCATAGAACCTCTGAAATTCATGACTATAATTTGAGGGGTTCTAACTATGATCTCCAACTACCACTACCTAAAACAAATTTTCTCAAGCGCTCATTTTCTTATCGGGGTGCAATGGCTTGGAACCAACTGTCAAATGAAACACGTGAGATGGGGGATCTTACTAGCTTTAAACTCGCCATATCTTAGGATATAACTTTTATCATGCTTGTGGGGTTGTGGACTTAATGGTTTACATGGTGCCGACTCACTATTTTCTAATACGGTTACAACTCATCAATCATTTCTTTTAATCATTAATAAACGAAAAAGGGGTTAGTAACGAAAAAAATATAACCATGCACAGCAGTATCATAATTTTAACATGTTTCATTTACTTTCAAAATTTGTCCGTTCTCTCGTTGCGGCTGTTTAGGACCTTTTTTTAACCATTGTTGAACGAGATCATGTTTTTAACCTTCGAGCTGCCGAAAAGGACCTTTTTCTCCTGCGATGGTTGCAGGATTTACCAGCAGAAGCTTGTAAATCGGGACAAATTCATTTGTCATGCTCTGCTGAGGTAATTTCTGAAACTTCTTCATGTTGTCTACATGCAATGTCATCGAGTTAAATTTGTTTTAAGAAATCGTAGTTCCGAGGATATTTAAGAACCTTGATAAAAAAAGACTCCATTGTTTGTGCGTATATTACATCACCCGACTGGTGAAAACGCAGAAGTCGGCGGGCTAAGTCATGATGGCTAAGTGTAGTTTTGTAAAGATAGTCATTTAGTGATATAGGATCGAAAAGGACCAATCATGAATTTGGATGCCTTGGTGAGGTCCGCCAGTCTAATATTCTTATTTCATCAAAGATTCCTTTTATTAGAAAGTGTGTATTTCTTAA